TGCTGTGTGTCCCACGGGCTGTGTTTGCCAGCCAGCCCTGCCACAGAACAGGGAACAGAGCAGTGCCCCGGGCAGGGCTGTGCCTGTGCCAGCTCTCCCAGGGGACAGCACAGGCTGTGCAGCCATGCCCTGGCACTCCTGTGGGAAAATAAAACCCCTGGGAATGCAGGCAGAGAGCTCCGGAATGGCCAGTAATGATTAACCAGGACTGGGCAGCTCTGGGCAAGGCAGGGTGGCCAAAGCTCCAGCGCTGCCACAGGGGCACCTCCAGCCCTTCACAGGCAAAATCTGCAGGGTTCTCCGCAGGAATTTGGGGTTGAACTCACAGCAGCACCCCTCTGTGGGGCTCTCACAGCCTCCTCCTCCTCCCCTGTCTGCAGTGTGTCCTCCTTGCCCAGGTTTGTGTGCCAGGGCACTTCCCTTTCTCCCAGCACTCAGAAGTTATGGATTTCACCAGACCAGCACCTTCACAGGGATTTCACTTTCTCCCAGCACTCAGAAGTTATGGATTTCATCAAACCAGCACCTTCAGAGGGACTTCTCTCTCTCCCAGCACTCAGAAGTTATGGATTTCATCAAACCAGCACCTTCAGAGGGACTTCTCTCTCTCCCAGCACCCAGAAATTGTGGATTTCACCAAACCAGCACCTTCACAGGGATTTCTCTCTCTCCCAGCACACAGACTTGGGGGATTTCACCAAACCAGCACCTTCAGAGGCAGGAGCAGCGGGGTCCCTCCCTCTGTGCTGGCAGCCAGGCTGGCATTCCAGGCTGCCTCCCTTTGTGGAGGGAACATTGCAGGCACTGTGTGGGCTGGAGCTATTCCTGTCTGCAGGATAATCACAGCCAGGCATCTCCCCGGGAATGGGGACACGTGTGACACGGGAAATGGGAGTGGGGAAACCTCTCCCCTGCTCTCCAAACCGGGTCAGACGTGTTGGAGCTCCCAGGCTGAGAGAATTCTCCACCCATGGCCCTGCTCCTACACTGCTGCCTCCCCTCTCCCCGTGCCAGGGCCATCCTGATTCCTGCCCTACACAATCCTGGGGGCTGCACTGGGGCAGCTTGCCCTGCCTGTGCACATTTTAGTGCCACTTTAACGCTGAGAGCTTGGGGCTGCCCTGCACGGGGACAGAGGCGCCCAGACCCGAGGGCACAATTCCTTCATCAATAACTTCCCAGACAGAATAAATTTGCTGTGACAGCTTTTCTTTAAAGACCTCAAACTGTGCCCCAGGCAGCCCCTGATCGAGCCCTTGCCTGCTGATGCCCTGGGTGCCTCATTTACTCTCTGCCATAGGGCAGAGGAAATAAAAAATGGGAATTTTGGTGCGTGACCAGCTTTCCACCTCCCACCTTCAACTCCTGCTCCTAAATCCCAAACTCCTCAAAGCTCAGAGGAAGAACCTCGGTGTCCTCAGCTCCTGAGCCTTCCTCCACTAGGTGATGCTGTACCTCCTGGAATTATTAAAAATTGGGTGAATTTCTCGTACTTTCAACAAACAAAGCGTCGGAGAGAGAAAGTCCTCAGAGCTTCAGCTGATATTCATGGCTCTCCCTCTCGCAGCACGCCCAGGGAGTGGGAATATATTCCCACTTGGCAGCCAGTGATGCCCTTTCTCTGCGAGCAGGAGGTGCAGGGCACAGCAGGAGCCAGGAGGGATTAAAGTGTCACCATCCCTCCCGGGGAGAAAAGAGCCACAGCATCTCAAAAACGTGGCCAGGATTTCCCATAATAAATAAACCCCAGACAGACGCAGGCAGGGAGAGGGGCAGGATGGGGTGGCTGAACACCCCAAGTGTGGGGACACTTTTTGCACTTTAAAGTGTCACAGGGATATATTTTATGGTGTCTACCTGGCTTGGCATGAGGACAGCGATTTCCCCCAGCTCCTCCCCAGCTGAGAGCCGGCTGCAGCACCCCAAGCTGCCGGGTTGAGATGTCACCCAAAATCCCCCCTTGTCCCCGCACTGCCCTGCTCCAGACACCTGCACAGCCCTTCCCTGTGCTCACCTGTCCCTCCCCGGCCAGGTGCAGGGCTCAGAGCCAGCCGGGAGCCCTGACAAGCCCGGCAGGAGGGCACAAATCTCCCCCAGATGGTGCGGAAAGGTGCGCCCGGTGCCCGCCCCGCCAGCCCCGCACCTGCGGGGCCGAACTCACCCCGGGCGGCCGCAGCTGCACAGGTTGCCCATGTTGCTCCTTCCCCCATGGAGCCCGAGCCTTCTCTGGACAGGCTGAGCTTGTATTTCCTGGTTCCTGCTCGGCCCCTGGCTGTGCAGGGAGTGTCTGGCAGTGTCGGGTTTCGGAGCGCTGGCCCCGTGTGCCATCTACCGGGAGATGTCCCCTGCTCCAGGGCGAGGGCTGGCCGTGTCCCCCAGGAGTCATCCCTGCTCTAAACTCTGTTCTGGCACTCACATTCCCATTCCCCACATTTCCCCCGGCGCTGTCCCAGGATGATGCCAAAGGGGATGGAGAGGGGATTCGGGCAGAAGGAGACCCCCAGGGTGGGAGCTCCGTGCTGGTCCTGCTGCCCATCCTCACACCTCGAGGAAAAAAAACCTGTGCCGTGTGTGCCATCCCCTGGGAATGAGCGGATTTCTTGGAGTTAGCTCTGCTGCTGCTGCCCCACAGCCTCAGGGACAGTGGAAATCCACTTTCTTTAAAGCTACCGGGATAAAAGTGTTCAGTTCTGTGCCTTTGAGAGTGGCAGGGTCCCAGCAGAGCCCTGGCAGCCCCCAGGAGCTGCAGTGCAGCTCTCAGCCCCAGCGGCTCAGACAGGAACAGGAACGTGCATTTCACCTCCCTGCCCCTGCTGAGAGCCCTTCAGCCTGAATGACCAGAGCCCTGGACATTCCTGGACCTAAGGACTGGGTAACTCCAGATCTCAGGGAGAAATCCTCCTGAAAGACATCATTTTAATATCGTTCTTGAGCAGTAACTCTGCCCCACAGCTCTGTGCAGGTCTGATCCCTAGAGGGGTGTCCAGCAAGGGGCTGAGCATTAATTCACATTTCTGTGACAGGAGCTGGCCCTGATTCCTGCTCCAGGTGTACCCAAAGGCTCACAGCCCCATTTATCACCTGCCCAAGGGCACAGCAAAGCTTGGACCTGTCCAGGAGTGGCAGAAGGACACGGATTCTGCTTTGGGAGGGTCAGTGCTGGCTCTGGGTGAGCTGCACTGTCACCTGCAGAGCCTGAGCCTTGCTCGGACAAAACTGTTCCTCAGCTTGGGGCTGGAGAAACGCCTCAGAATTACGGATTGGATTAATGCAGACAGCTGGGATTCAGAGCTGGTGCCGTGTTCTCAGGGTCCTGCAGGGTCCAGGTGTTCCCAGGAGCCTGTCTCTGCCTGGGAAGCTGCAGACTCTGTGTCTCTGGCCTTGCCACAGACATTGTTGTTTTAATGAACCAGCGTCTGTTTTGATTTCTGGGATAACTCGGGCTTTGTTGCTTTGTGGGGAAGGAGGGAAAGAAAAAAAAAAAAAAGTCTGGGATCCTGTTCCCATCAGCCTCTTTCACAAACACTGGAGCTGCCGCTTCGAGCTCCACCAGAGAAACAGAAAAGCATCAAAAACATTGGCAGGGCCGGGGAGCGCTTGGCTGCCACTCCACATTCCCTCCCCAGGCTGTGTCTGCGGGGATGGGAGCAGGCAGGGCTGCGGGGACAGCGGCGGGGACAGCGGCGGGGACAGCCCTGCCCGCCCCCGGGCACTGCCAGCCCCCGGTGCCGCATCCCTGGGTGACACAGCTGTGACACCGACACAGCACAGGCACCTTATGGGGCAGAATGGGCAAAACGGGGCCAGATCACAGCTCTTTGCAGCTCTTTTCTGAAAATAAAAAAGCTCTTTTCTGCGGTCAGGAAGAATGGTGTGGTCATTGCTAATTTTGGGCGTTTTTGTGGCAGGAGTGTCCAGGCACCGGGACAGGTGTGGGACAGGCACACAGCGAGCTGGCACTGTCTGTCAAAAATGAAAAGGAGAGAGCTCTGTGCTGTTTTGGGGCACTCCTTTTGTCTCAGAATAATGTATGAATATACTGTGATTATACTATAATTCTATTAAATATACTAGA